GATCACTAGTGGAAATTAGTGTTGTTAAACGGCTAAGCCGAGTCGACTTAGCTACGACTCGAGCCTAGTTTCTAGTCGATAAAACGGCTCAGACTCGAGTCGACTAAATGAGCCGCATTAGTCGACTCATTTAGTCGGCTCACTTAGTCGGCTCGCTTAGTCGGCTCACTTAGTCGGCTCGCTTAGTCGGCTCACTTAGTCGGCTCGCTTAGTCGGCTCACTTAGTCGGCTCGCTTAGTCGGCTCACTTAGTGGACTCAGAGGTTAGCTTGAGTTTAATTTAAATTTAGAGTCAAAATTTATTTTTATGTTATTAGATATTTTAAATAATAATGTAGAATTTTATTTATTTATTTTTAGTGAAATAATTTATTTTATTTATATTTAATGTTAATATTTTATTATTAGCAAACAAAAAATTTTTTTAAATTTTATTTCAAATATGTTTTGTTCTTATAATAAAAATGGATTTATTTATTTGATTTTTTTTAAATAAAAAAAAATTCATATTTTCGAGCTAAAAATTTTAAGCAAAAAATAATTTTTGAACAAAAATATTGAAACATATTTTGTTGATTTTTTTAATAAATTTTTAACTTTTTTAAGAAATACTTTTGTTAATTTTATCATAAATAAATAATCTTTTAGGTCAAATCTTCTATAGTTTTTTTATATTATTTTTATAAATATATCTATATTTTAAGTTTATTTTATTATAAGAGGTGGTTTTTCTAAATAATTTTTTTATTAATATATCTATATTTTAAGAATATATACTGGTTTTTCTTTTTCTAAATAATTTTTTTTATAAATATATCTATATTTTAAGTATATTAAAAGAGGTGGTTTTTCTAAATTATTTTTTTATTAATATTTATGTCAAACTTTTTTTAATGCGACAATTGTCATATGCGTTATTTTTTAAGATTTTTGAAATTTTTGGACACAAAAGGGTTATAATATAATTTATATTGTAAAGATATTATATTATAAATTCAATGAAGATGTTCCCTGGAAAAATGATAATTATCATAATAGGTAGGTATTTTTGAACATATAAGATTTTTTTGTGACGCTAATGGGTAAAAATATGTTTCTTTAACTGGTAAAATTTAATGTAGATGTACCCTAGATAAAAGACAATTGTCATAATAGTTATTTTTAAAGTTTTTCGAATTTTTTTGACGTAAATTGGCTAAAATAAGCTTTGCTAACATGTTTAAATAAAATTTTAGTGAAGATGTAAGATAGATAAGTGACAATTGTCATAATCGTTGTTTTTAAAGTTTTTCGAATTTTTTTGACGTAAAATGGCTAAAATGCTAACATGATTAAATAAAATTTTAGTGGAGATGTACCATAGATAAGTGACAATTGTCATAATCGTTGTTTTTAAAGTTTTTCGAATTTTTTTGACGTAAATGGACTAAAATAAGCATTGCTAACATGATTAAATAAAATTTTAGTGGAGATGTACCATAGATAAGTGACAATTGTCATAATCGTTGTTTTTAAAGTTTTTCGAATTTTTTTGACGTAAATGGGCTAAAATAAGCATTGCTAACATGTTTAAATAAAATTTTAGTGGAGATGTACCATAGATAAGTGACAATTGTCATAATCGTTGTTTTTAAAGTTTTTCGAATTTTTTTGACGTAAATGGGCTAAAATAAGCATTGCTAACATGTTTAAATAAAATTTTAGTGAAGATGTACGATAGATAAGTGACAATTGTCATAATCGTTGTTTTTAATTTTTCGAATTTTTTTGACGTAAATGGGCTAAAATAAGCATTGCTAACATGTTTAAATAAAATTTTAGTGAAGATGTACGATAGATAAGTGACAATTGTCATAATCGTTTCTTTTAAAGCTTTTCGAATTTTTTTGACGTAAATGGGCTAAAATAAGCATTGCTAACATGTTTAAATAATATTTTAGTGGTAATGTACCCTAGATAAGCGACAATTGTCATAATCGTTGTTTTTAAAGTTTTTCGAATTTTTTTGACGTAAATGGGCTAAAATAAGCATTGCTAACATGTTTAAATAAAATTTTAGTGGAGATGTACCATAGATAAGTGACAATTGTCATAATCGTTGTTTTTAAAGTTTTTCGAATTTTTTTGACGTAAATGGGCTAAAATAAGCATTGCTAACATGTTTAAATAATATTTTAGTGGTAATGTACCCTAGATAAGTGACAATTGTCATAATCGTTGTTTTTAAAGTTTTTCGAATTTTTTTGACGTAAATGGGCTAAAATAAGCATTGCTAACATGATTAAATAAAATTTTAGTGGAGATGTACCATAGATAAGTGACAATTGTCATAATAGTTATTTTTAAAGTTTTTGACGTAAATAGGCTAAAATAAGTATTGCTAACATGTCTAAATATAATTTCAGTGAAGATGTACCCTAGAAAAGTAACAATTGTCATAATAATTATTTTTAAAGTTTTTTTAATTTTTTTGACTTAAATAGGCTAAAATAAGTATTGCTAACATATCTAAATAAACCTTCAGTGAAGATGTACCCTAGATAAGTGACAATTGTCATAATCATTATTTTATAATTTTATTGATGCAAATCGATAAAAATATAGATTTTAATCATGTTAATTTAAGCTCGCGTGTTGTTATTATGGCATTTATATATCAAATTGTTTAATTAATTAAAAAGTAAATGTTTAGCATGAATTATAATTTTATTCATATAAATAAAACTTATATTTTATATATTCGTTTGTTTAAATCAATTTATTTTATATTAACCTATTAAACAATTAATTTAAGAATGTATATAAATTACAACGATTATGACAATTGTCACTTATCTATGGTACATCTCCACTAAAATTTTATTTAAACATGTTAGCAATGCTTATTTTAGCCCATTTACGTCAAAAAAATTCGGAAAACTTTAAAAACAACGATTATGACAATTGTCACTTATCTAGGGTACATCTCCACTAAAATATTATTTAAACATGTTAGCAAAGCTTATTTTAGCCCATTTACGTCAAAAAAATTCGAAAAACTTTAAAAACAACGATTATGACAATTGTCACTTATCTATCGTACATCTTCACTTAAATTTTATTTTAACATGTTAGCAATGCTTATTTTAGCCCATTTACGTCAAAAAATTCGAAAAACTTTAAAAACAACGATTATGACATTTGTCACTTATCTAGGGTACATTACCACTAAAATATTATTTAAACATGTTAGCAATGCTTATTTTAGCCCATTTACGTCAAAAAAATTCGAAAAACTTTAAAAACAATGATTATGACAATTGTCACTTATCTAGGGTACATCTCCACTAAAATATTATTTAAACATGTTAGCAATGCCTATTTTAGCCCATTTACGTCAAAAAAATTCGAAAAACTTTAAAAACAACGATTATGACAATTGTCACTTATCTAGGGTACATCTTCACTTAAATTTTATTTAAACATGTTAGCAATGCTTATTTTAGCCCCATTTACGTTAAAAAAATTCGAAAAACTTTAAAAACAACGATTATGACAATTGTCACTTATCTAAGGTACATCTTCACTAAAATTTTATTTAAACATGTTAGCAATGTTTATTTTAGCCTTTTTACGTCAAAAAAATTCGAAAAACTTTAAAAACAACGATTATGACAATTGTCATCTAGGGTACATCTTCACTAAAGTTTTATTTAGACATGTTAGCAATGTTTATTTTAGCCTATTTACGTCAAAAAAATTTAAAAAACTTTAAAAACAATGATCATGACAATTGTCATTTATCTAGGGTACATCTACATTAAATTTTACCTGTTAAAGAAACATATTTTTGCCCATTAGCGTCACAAAAAAATCTTATATGTTCAAAAATATACCTACCTATTATGATAATTATCATTTTTCCAGGGAACATCTTCATTGAATTTATAATATAATATCTTTACAATATAAATTATATTATAACCCTTTTGTGTCCAAAAATTTCAAAAATCTTAAAAAATAACGCATATGACAATTGTCGCATTAAAAAAAAGTTTGACATAAATATTAATAAAAAAATAATTTAGAAAAACCACCTCTTTTAATATACTTAAAATATAGATATATTTTAAAAAAAATTATTTAGAAAAAGAAAAACCACCTCTTTTAATATTCTTAAAATATAAATATATTTATTAAAAAAATATTTAGAAAAAGCCACCTCTAATAATAAACTTAAAATATAGATATATTTATAAAAATAATATAAAAAAACTATAGAAGATTTGACCTAAAAGATTATTTATTTATGATATAATTAAAAAAAGAATAAAATTTTATGATAAAACAAAAGAATAAAATTTCTTCAAAAAATCAGCAAAATATGTTTCAAAAATATTTTTTACTTAAAATTTTTAGCTCAAAAATATTAATTTTTTTTTATTTAAAAAAAAATCAAATAAATAAATCCATTTTTTTATAATCAAATCAAAACATATTATTTGCATTAAATAAAATATAAATAAAATAAATTATTTTACTAAAAATAAATAAATAAAATTCTACATTATTATTTAAAATTTCTCAATAACATAAAAATAATTTTTGGCTCTAAATTTAAAATAAACTCAAGCTACCCTCTGAGCCCACTAAGTGAGCCGACTAAGCGAGCCGACTAAGCGAGCCGACTAAGCGAGCCGACTAAGCGAGCCGACTAAGCGAGCCGACTAAGCGAGCCGACTAAGCGAGCCGACTAAGCGAGCCGACTAAGCGAGCCGACTAAGTGAGCCGACTAAGCGAGCCGACTAAGTGAGCCGACTCATGCTGCTCCTTGATCGGCTTGAGTCGGAGCCGTTTTTTACGACTACGACTCGAGTCGCAAGTCGTAAGAACTCGACTAATTAACAACACTAGTGGAAATATCAGCTAACCAATTCGGATTTGTGGCCGGCAAATCCACAATCAATCCGATCTTCGCACTAAGACAAAAGATGTATAAATATGGAGAAAAGAAACCTACATATGGTCTTTATTGACTTGGAGAAAGCTTATGACACGGTCCCTCGCAATTTAAAATGGTGGTGCTTGAGAAAACAAAATATCCCTGACGCATATGAACGGCTGATGAAAAACATATATGAAGCCTCAACTTCTTGCGTTAGAATGACAGTTGGAGACTCTAAACCTTTTTGGGTTGAAATTGGATTACATCAAAGATCTGCTATAAGTCCTTTTTTATTCAATATAATTATGGACACGATAACGAGAGACATCCAAAAGCCATCTCCTTGGTGTATGCTATATGCAGATGATATAATACTATGCGAAGAGACAAAGGAGAAAGTATTCGAAGAAGCCGAAAAGTGGTCAAAACGCTTAGCTGGATATGGTTTAAAGGTCACTAATTGAAAAACGGTATACATGGAGATGAACGTTACATGCACCCCATCGCTGGATAACCAATTAAAGAACCCAAAAGTAGACAGGTTTACATACCTAGACTCGATGCTACTTCAAGAGGGAGGTTGCTCAAAAGAAGTCATATCACGGATCCAAAAAGGATGGCTTAAATGGCGAAGTATATCCGATGTATAGTGAGACAAGAAGATGTCAATGTGGTTGAAAAGCAAAGCTTATGTTACTCCATGGAAATGGAAATGAAACATGGGCATTAAATGCTACGGAAGAAAAGTTATTACAAGACACGGAGATGAGAATGATACGGTGGAGCTTGGGTGTACTAAACTCGACCATATGACGAATGACTGCTGTTTCAGAGCAAAAATGGGTATTTAACCTATGGCGGACTTGATAAACGAAAATCAAGGGGGTACGGTCATATACTAAGAAGGGAGACGAATGATGTAAATCGAAAATGATTGGATATGGAGGTGCCGGGGAAGAGAGGAAGAGAGGAAGAGGACGACCTCGTGTTACGTGGAAAATCAAGTAGACAAAGTTATAATGACTAAGAAGATAAATCCGGACATGTCCCTTACTCGAGCAAGATGGAAGAAACATATTAAAACAAACCCCACGACTGTGGGACCATATTCATGATAAAGAAGAAGAAGAAGAAGAATTAAGGATATTTGATAAGGCTGGATGGACAACGACGACCGATAAAATTAAAATGGGAGAAAAGTCAATTACTTATTTGGGTCATGTTATTGACGACAGAAGATAAGATTATTGCCATAAATATTGCAAAACACGGTCAATTGTTAAAGAATCACAATCGTTTCTTGGGATGGTAAATTACCATGAGTCGTATATAAAAAATTTACATTGTGTTGTGTGCGCCTTTATACCGCCTAACGAGTAAAGTTGGTTTTGATTAGCTCAAGAAAATAAAATATTTAATAAAATTAAAAATATATTAACAAGAGAGGATACAATAATTCCCTATTCAATCGATATTCCTGTCTTAAATTTCTGTGACTCTTCCCAAAATGGTAAGCTGTTATTTCACAAATTTTTTACTGAATGAATACAAATTGATTAGACAGACCCCATATCGGGAAAGTATGGATTAATTTGCGCAGACGCCTTCACCAAAGGATTTGAAGTTGCATTTTTACACATGTACTAAATAGCTTGCTTAATAATATCGCTAGATTTGGATTACCTAGTTACATTGTTTCAGATAACGGTATTCAGTTTAATGGATCTAAATTCATAACGCTTCTTTTTAAAAACAACATAAACATTTTAGATCAGACCATTATAGCCAAGAATCGAATGATTTAGCTGAGCGCTATATATGTACGATAAAGACACGTTCTAACGATACCGGACTCCGGACCAGCTATTAGATTTTAATTATTCACGGATAGTGTTGTTAAACGGCTCGTTTTGAGCTGATTTATAAAAACGGCTAAATTAATATTCCACCCAGAAAAATATTACGCAAGCATAAAGATTTTACTCATAGAAGGAACAAAGGTCTAGACATATCGTCGCTCTAGAATAGTAGTGCTCCACTTATGCAAATGTTTTAAATAAGAAAATCAACATTAAAATTTAAAATAAAATATAGAAAAAAGTTATTGATCTATTTTGACATAAACTTTGGCAAAAATTAATATTTTTAAATCTAGTTTTTATTTTTATATATTTTGGGAATAAATAAGTTATTATCCAATTCTAACTCAAAAATTCTGGAAATGTCAAGTGGAGCACTCCAATTCTAGACTGACGATATTTTAACGAAATCTCGAGGCTTAGGCATATTTTCTGACTAAAATATTGAGTTAACCGTTTTAAAAAATCGGCTTAAAATGAGCCGTTGCTACTCACCAAAATACTCCAAATGCAACCACCTTTAAATCCCCTGCCGAAATAATGTTTAGAAGGCCGTTCAGGACAACGATAGATTAGTGGAAATCATCTACTGGAGAAACGATTGAATGCATTATGGTAAAAAAATATTATAAAGATAGGAACTTTGAGTCCCGTGAATTTGAAGAGAAGCAAAAGGTTTGGATAGAAAATGAAAGGACTGCGGGATGGCATGAAGGGGCAGTGGTTCAACAGAAAAGTGTGATATTACATTAGTCCAGTCTGAGTGAGAGTACAGTAAAAAACAAGCATGCCGACCTACTGGGAGATGCTCGTGTACAAGCTAAGAAAATATCCATAACAATGAAGGAAGAATTGGATAATGTAGACCAAATATATTGTATTTTGTTTAAGGATACAATTTATGGTAATTGATTGATTATCGTAATTGTACTTTTGTTAAATATATAAACTAATTATTGTTAAATTATCTTTTAATCTTTTTATTTTGCTTAAAATTTTATTCTTATAAAATCTTTCATCTTAAACACCACATTCTCTTATTTATTTATGCATTTAGAAGCTTTTAGCCCCTACATTGTTTATAAGAAGGGCAATTGCAGCAATAACTCTTACCCCTCATGTTAACAATAGCTTAATCGATAAATCTTTTCTAAGTAACTGTAACTAGCCATTATTATTTTAGAACGATATTTTTGATGCATCACAAATGAATAAATACTGAGTTAAAATCATTATTAAATTAAATATTTCACATGTGTTTATACTTTAAATGTTGATCTGTGAAATCTACCATAGCTTTAAATTGTTTGGACAATCAACAATACAATATGAATTTATTAATTATGGTTAAGATTAATTATTTATACTTAAATAGAAAAAGATTTTTTTTATGAACATATAAATAACTAAAATGGATTGAATTTTCTGATATAATTACTATATGTAAATAAATTATTAATTACTTTTTTTTAAATTTTAAATTTGATAAATTAAGCATACAATTTTTTTTACACATATCCAATGTATCAATAATAGGTGTAAATATACAATTTTTACACATATCATTAATTGGCTACTCCCAATTATTGATTGTTAAAACATTTTAAATGGATAAAGATTTGAATGTTGGACACAATTTATTTCCATCTTGGTTGAAAACTTCTTCTAAAGATAATAATGGAAGTGTAAGTTATTCTTATTTAAGAGCTATTTAATATTATATTTTATAGGTTATAAGTTCAATATCAGACTCAAATAGTGATACATCCATTTTCTTCAAATCAAATCAATATTCTCAAAATTCCAATATTAAAAATGAAAATTATGTATATAACAATAAAAAATTTGATTCATCCTTATCCTCAAAAGTATTTAATTCAAAGTTCAATAATATTTATTCTGAAGATAAGGGACTTAATAATATAAAATATAACAATAATTATATAAGCAAATATACACATCCTAGCAGAGGAAGTTATTTGAATAGAAATCCATCCTTTGACAATAAATTTGTTAAAAATACCTATGATTATTCAAACTATTATAATGATGATAAAATATATAACAATAACACTATTAAACATTCATCACTCCATCTTGCAAACAATTTAAACAGATTAAAGTTGACTAGTGAAATTTCTAGCAAAATTTATCAACCACCCCAAAACTATGAAAGTAATATAAGCCATGAAAGAGTTAGTTATGCTAATAATATAAAACCATGGCATCACACTAATTTAAGCAATAATAACACTGTGTTTGCTAACAATTATTCCAACAGTTATAATAATAATTATGGATATTCAAATAATTACAACTCCAGGAATATTCTAAATGAATCCACATATAATTCTGTCACTAGTGCTCCATATAAATTTAGGTTTAATAAACCTATATTAAATTCAGGTGCTTATTCTCAAACCAATAAAAATGACTTTGATGACTCATATGAAAATACCAACACATTGTGTAATGGTACATCCACTAACACATATTCTTACAATAATCCTAACAATGTGGATAATGGATTTGGGGTGAAATATACTGGTAATTAATGTTGCATTTTAAGCTTTATGAATTAATATAATAAATAATTTTTATATATTATTTGATATTTGTTATGATAGTACATAATTTATTTTACCAATTATTTTAAAAAAATATGATATGAAATTAATTTATAATATATTGGGTATTTAGGTATAATTGCAGTTAATTAGTTGTATACTCATACCTAGTTGCTTTTATTGAGAGGGGGGGGAGAATTTATTTGAGCAGCCAATATTTTGGGAGATTGTATTATATTTCATAAGCCATTAGTAACAAATTTATATAGGACATGTGGTGCCCTCCCCCTATCTGCATTTTAAATAAAATAAAATTATTTACTAAAATAATATATTTTATAACTAAATTTAAAGAATGGGATAAAAATAACTATAACACAAGCAAAAATGGCTATAATTACTCCACATCATATTACAATCCTGGTACAAACAACCATCAACAATATTACAAAAATGATTGGAAGACTAATATAGTAAGTTCAAATCACAAATCTTTAGAAAAAATAGTAGCTTAGCTTCTATTTCCATTTTATTATATAAATAATTAATGACATTATTTTAATATAGATTATACTAAATTATGTTATAGATATAATCAAAGTTAGAAGTTTATGCAGGCTAGCATACTGGCAAGGCCTTGACAACTTTTATTTTTTACTGGCTAAAACCAGGCCTGAAGTTAACAATTTTTTATAGCTTAGAATTAGGCAAAGGCATATCCTTTTCCTTCATAAAAAAAATTATTTTTTGGGCAAAAATTTATAGGTTGGGCCAAATAAAAACCTGATCAAAAATTTCAACAATTCTATTTAGGCTGGCCCAAGCCGACTTCTAATCAGAGTTTGATTGAGATAAGGCAAATTCTGAGTCGAGGCTACATATATGCCCAATATTTGCTAACTGAATTTTTTAGTAAAAAAACTATCACCTCAGCCTTAGATTTTTTATTGAAATCCAACTCAACATTAAAGAAAGTATTATTGCTATACTTTAAATTGCTGTAATTTTGTCATAATTGTAATTTAAATGAATAATTAATTAAATTGAAAATTTAAAGTAAACGGTATAATATATTGGGAAAAATATATTAAATTATTAATTTGCTTCAAAAATTAAGAATAATTTAAAATTTAAAAGACACCAATTTTTGTGCCAAATATGAATGTATTTGATTTTTTTCTGAATTTATCGTTTAGCAAAAAGAGAAACTGATAATTCAACTTGTTTAAAAAAAACTGATGAAAACATTATAAGCATTGGCCAATATTGTTACTTAAGTATTGATACATCTTCATTTAATAACGGTTTTTCAGGTAAACCAGGTTCCTCTCTAACCCTTTTTTACATTTTTACAGCCCTGGGAATCGTTAATTGTGGCCAATTATTATAATTGTAATCCATTATCACTAGGAGTGTACCCATACCATTTTTTGAGGCAGTATCGGCCGCGATCCGATATCATATCTAATTTTACATTCTGTAAGCATACTAATTGTTTTAATTTTTAATGCATACATCTAGTTTTGCAAAATCGTTCTATTTGACTCGATTTTTAAAAACGGCCAACTCACTATTTTATCATGTAAAATATTATGGCATGCCTGAAGATTTTACTCATAGATGGCACAAAGGTTTGGTCATCTATAAGTGAAATCTCGAGGCTTAGGCAATATTTTTTTTTGGCTAGAATATGGAGTTAGCCATTTTAAAAATCGGTTTAAATAACATCAATCTACTCATTTCATATACATTTTAAAAATATAGCCTTTATAATTTAACTATACTAATGATCAGTTGGAGTAAAATACATTTTATTGATATATCACTTATTTATATAATAACATTTAATCTGACAGAATCAATATATTATGAAATTCGAGGTAAATTTTTTTCTTCTAAAATTTAGACTCCATTTTATCAGATCGGAAAATTTATTGGCCGATAACCGATATTTTCAAATTTCCAATTCTATCTCATAAAAAATATTGGTACATCCCTAATTATCACCTTCATTCATGTTTTTGTTTGTCTTCCTCGAGATCTTTATGCCATAACCTCTACCATTTTTGGCATCACCATTAGCTAAAAGGAGTGGTAGCAATATGCAGTAAATCTGGTTATAAGTGTTTTTTTTATAAGCTATGATTTATAAAATGATCACTGTAATGTTTTTGGGGTAATTAATTAATAAAGCACATTATTTTTACAAATCTAAAATGACTGCCAATGCATTTTTTAATGATTATTATACCTATAGAGATTTGGTAGAAAACACCTATCCAAAATTTGGTAGGAAAATATAAAATTAATATGTGAAGGGGGCTTTATGCGGGCTACTGTTATATAATATATTGGATACGGGTCAAGGCTTGTTGCAGAAATGCAACAATTACTGATTAATTTGGTAATAATGGTAAATTGGGGTAAAATTGTTTTTTTTCATTTTACTTATATAAAATAAATGTATAATAAAATTTAATTTTTATATGAGATTATACTTCGTTTTTTTATAAAATAATAGTAAAAACGATTGCCTCTTTTTTAAGATCAGCTGATACTAGGGCTGTGCCGATATTAAAGATCGGATCGGTGCCGATTTAGCGTTTTCCGAAAATATCGGATCGGGCCGATACCTGTAAAAACCGATCCGATCTTTTTACTTTTCTTTTTTTTTGTTATTTCATTTTATACTATGTATATTTATTTTACATTATTATAATATTTTCTAAATAATTTTTTTAAATTTTATTTCTTTTTTAAAATAGATATATAGTATTTAAAATTTTTTTTTTAAAAATAGAAAGGAACACCCAAGTTTTATTTATTTTAAATCTTTTTAAATAACGCCAATTTTTTTATTTATACTTTAAATAAAAGAATTTTTTTAAATATGGTATCTGAATTATGGAAATATTTTTGCGGAATTATCTGAGTCTGCCTTCAGTACGGCAGGAGATAAAGAGAGTCCATATCGTAGAAGCTTATTTCCAGAAAATCTAGAGGCTCTTAATTTATTTAAAAAATCTAATATATTATAATTTGATTTATTAAATATTACAATTTTATAATTCCAACATAAAATGGATATATTATTAAATATATATTTTTTTATTATAGTCTTAATTGTAGAAATAAAAAAATTAAATTATTCATAATTCGATTTTTTGCATAAAAAATATTGATTTCTTAATTACATTTGGTTCAAACGGGGGTGATTAAAAATCGGTAAAAATATCGGATCAATTTTGAAGCAATATCGGAAAATATCGGATCGCTGAAAATATGGATCGGCATGATACCATTGGTGTCGATTATAATTAAAAATATTTGTCAATGTCGAATATTATCTAATACCAACTTTTAGTAGCAGGATTTCATACCAAATCGATAACTTTTCGATCTGTTCTTTTTGATTTTGAGTAAATTTTGCATACTGAGAGAACACCATTAGAAAGTATCGAATCCCAAATTTTAGCCTCTTAGTGCTAATAGTTACTTCCTTGACCTTTTTTAGAAATGCGATATTTAAAAATTGTAATAATTTATAAAATAATGATGCTAAAAATAGAAATTTTTGTATTAAAGGCCTTTTATAGTGCTCACAAATTGAGCATTTCAAACGTTCGTTGCAAGCGCAAATAATGCATTTCAAATGGCCTCGTGCAATTTAATAAAATTACCATTTGACGTTAGCAACCATTTTAAAAAAACGCAAATAGGTTTGCCTTTTCATTACTTTTTTTATTCTTCGCTCTGTAATATTATATAAAATGTAATATAAATAAACTTGCTTATATCCTAAAAATGAATATTTAGAAATTAAAGAAATAAGAAGGCAGACGATAATATAATTTTCAAAAACAACTCCTTTTTTTAGAACTTATTTAAAATTTTGAATCGACGATATTAATAAAAAGGCAACTCAATTTAAACAAGGGATGCGTTGCGTTTTTTTAATTAAAAGATTACGGCAAAACGTAAACTCAATTTGTGTGCACTATTAGTAAAGATTAATGATTTTTTTAAAAAAAATATAAAAATTGTTGCGGTTTTTATCTTATAAATTTTGAACATGAAATCTTTGAATTAAATATTTTATTATTCACTTATATTGTATCTATTTATAAAAAAAAAATTAAATTTGGGACAGCCATGGGTTTTAGTTATGGTTGGCGCTCCTATATAATATAACGCGTTTTTGTTAAAACTAATTTTTTTCCTATCTTTAAGCATAAATAATAACATATTTCCAGCATTAATATCATGATGGAATTCTTTGGATGCGACTATAATAATATTTTTGTTTTGCAAAGGAAAAAAATTTACGAAAGATATTACTTATTTTCGGCTATTCATCAAATTAAGTTTTTTTTGACGCCTTGATAATTTCGTTTTGCAATAAATAATAAGTACGCCCAGTGGTCTTCGATAGGTTCACTTTTAAAATATTATTTTTTGATATAAAATGGATATCAGGTGCTGCTGCATAAACAAAGGAATTTGCTGGTCCTTTAGGTTGGAAAAAGTTATTATAATTTCATCTCTATTTATATCCACTTTTTGCACAAATCCCCAATCGTTTTCTTACATACAGGTCACATATATCCTCTAATTTCATCTATTAACAAGATCATCACAAGAATTCACTATATTCTTCACAATAAACCTCTGCGAATTGGAATATATTTTAGTTATTGAGCTTAATTAAACCGATTGGAAACCACTGCAAGATTTTCATTTCCCAGATATTAAAATAAAGGTATAGGTTCTAAATCGCTAAAAAATGGGAATCTGGCTTATATCTCCTAGAAAATTTTTTTAAATAAATTTGAAATTAATATTAATAGATACTAGGGGAGTAAACACTTGTATTTAAAATTAAAAATTTATTAATATTAATTTCAAATTTATTTAAAAAATTTTCTAGGAGATATATAAGCCAGATTCCCATTAAAATTTTTTGCAAATAGATATAATGTAAGCGAATAATAAAATAGAAAATTCAAAGAAAGTCGTAAAGCGAAGCACCTGGAGCTTTCGGGTTCAAAAGTTATGACGTAAATATAAATCGCAATATGATTATTTTAAAAAAATCCTCCATATTTATTAAATGGCCTATAATAGAGTTAACAAAATTACGTTTACTTATTATTTTTAGGCATGATTATTTTTCGAAAAAAGGTTATTAGGCACTTTTGACCATTGATATCTCAGGAACTGTCAGTACTAGGAGGCAAAAATTTTGGATTATTCAAAAAATCACCTGATTCAAAAATTAAATGTGGACAAGAAAAATTTGACAAATTTTCTTAATAATTCACATATAATATTAATAATATTTATTTTTTAAAAAAATTAGGTTAACAACATTAGTAATGGCTATATCGACAACAATCATTCCTCTTGGAATAATAATGACTCAGCATTCAATAATCTAGATGGCCCTTACAAAGCGGATGATGTCCTTAAATATTCAACCCCTACTGAAGAGCATTTAAGCAATGATGATAGATATCAAGTATATCTTATAGTATGTATATTAAACTGTGACAGCTTCAATGTATTTCTTCCTGCTTTAAGCTTTTTGTGGTTTTTTTCATAATATGAAAAAAAGAATCTGTGTTGTATGAAATCGAATGTTATTAAAAACCTCGATTTCGCATATTTTTGAAACGAAATCAAAATTTTAACCAATCATATATCGCTTAAGCGTCGAGATTTCACCTAAAGAGGGTGGTCAAATCTTGCCATGTTTTGGCAAAATCTCGAAGGCTAGGTAATCCTGATTTAACCGTATTTTAAAAAAAACAGAAATCTAGGTTCAACTACACTTATTAAAGCTATGTATAATAACTGTGGTGTGAATTTCAGACAATTTTGTCATAAAACTGTGAGTTAATTAAAATTAGTAAAAAATTTAAGGCGGTTTAAAATTTCATGACATAATTATTATCTTACCTTGTTGGTAAGTAATTTATTAGATATCTGCAAAGCCTGGCTGGCTGGCTAGCTAGGCTAAGTAAATTTAAAATTTTTATATAATGAACTAGGTAAATAATTTAAGAGGCCAGGTAGGGTGAGCCAGTTATAAAAATGATTATAAAAAAAATTTCAATCAAATATTGGTAGATTATATATTCCACGAGGATTATGCCGATAAAAATTATTATTTTTTTTTACATAAAAAATCAATATTTTTTTTTCATCCTTAATTATATTTTTATATATGAATCATAAAGATATTTAAGAAGAATTTAAAAGAGCAAAAAAAAATTAAAAATTTCATTGTTTTTTATCAATATATCATAAATAATTTAAACACATCCCATTTTTATTTATTTATTTTTTAAATAAAGAGATTTATTTGCTAATTAACAAAACTGGAAATGATCTTAAAATTTCAAAAACTATTTTTTGATATAAAAAATGACTAGAACAATAACTATGACAAAACCCCAAACGAAGCCTACAAAAATGGCGACCAGGATGATTCACGGGACGACTCGCTGGAAGCCGAACACAAGCTCCTCAAGGCGATGGGTTGGAATGGGTCCGCTTTCCGTGACGTGGAACCGTTGAGCCGCGACGAGGTCGAAGAGTTTTTCAAAGATACGGTATGTTGTTACTTTTTCTTTATAAAAAAAAGTAGTAAAATGAAGGGAGAAAGTAAGTTCATTTCAAGACCGAACCTTTTGTCAAAGCGATTTTCTACGAGTTAGATTATATTAACGATTAAATGGAGTTCGAAATCCATATCCCTTTTTTGGAAATAAATTAAAGAATTAGTTCAAAGTATAGTTGTGTAAATACTATAATTTTAGCCGGCTAAATCATGTTATTAGCCGACTATCACCTTAGACCTTGGGGCTTTTCTTAAAAAGATAGCGGCTCAAATTTGAAAGGAATTGATATAAATTAAAACGCGTTAATATTAACTCATTTACTCTGGCATACACCTGAAAATTGAGCATCGGACATTTAGTTATTACTCAACTATAGTTGAAAGCATGCTTCAAAAATCGCTTAAAAAAAGGGGGGGGGGATAGGGATAAATTTTTATATAAGAAGGTTACGTTGAAATTAGATTTACTTTTCATAAGAAAGGGAGAAAGTAAGGAAAAAATTTGGGCATTTACGTCGATTAATATCTTATGGCGTTCGAAGAGAGATAGGTTTATTAAAATTGCCACCACCTCATTTAAAGATTTTTCGAAATATTCTATATTCTTTTCTTTTTTCAACAAGAATTATAATGTATTCCACGATTTTTAATATTCGCTTAAAACGTGATTCTTCTATTATATTTATCAATTTTTTTTTACAGGCTAATAAATATGGGACTTCCGTTCTTACGAATAACACCACACTCTCCTCCGCTTCCACTCAGTTTTTCAATAAACGCTAAATAAATATATTATAAAATAAAACACGAAATCGTAGAAAAAAACACGGGAAACAAAATAAAAAAACCCCGCCTTTATAATTTTTATTTATATTATATTATTTAACAAAAATAAAAAAAAACAAAATTAAAAATGTGATAATTTGATTTTTTTAAAAATTTACTATTGTATATATTATATTTTTATTTTTTTTGCAGCCGATGAATTATGTAATTTTGTATATTTTAGGATTTAATTTTTTTTTTATTTTAAATTTCACCTTATAAATAAAATATATAAATATATTATTTTAAATAAATAATTAATATAAAATATAAATAATTTGTAATATTTTTTCTGATCACTTCCTTCCTTTCAGTTTTATCATTATATAAATTATATATATTTTTTAAAAGTGTATTATATTAATTTTTTTTCCCCCCATTTTTTTTAGATTTCTTTTTACGAACGCGACAATATTAATATTTTTATTATCTTTATTTTTAACAGAAGTAGAGAAAGGGGGAAAAAATAAACATTACAGTTATCAGTAAATATTATTTTTGAAGTGAGAAACGTTGTTGCTTTTACTTTTATTGTTCCTGAACCTCAAACTATCATAATGATCGGAACTAATGATATCTGATAACTTGAGAGGTTGAGGTTCAGGAACAATATTCCTCATCATCTTAGCCTTTCTAGTAAAACTTCCTATTTATATTTTTCATCTTTGGCTGCCAAAGGCTCATATAGAAGCGTCAAAATCAGGATCCATATTACTAGCTGTGTCCCTATTAAAATTAGGAGTATTCGGCTTACTCCAAATTTGTCGGGTGAGGTCAAACAGTCCAACTCATTTATAGATTTTAATTTTCTGTCCTATTGCTGAATTGTGAATGTTATTGGATAAACGATTGGCGTGAGTAAATCCCGATTTCAAAGCAATGCTAAGACGTTTTCTAACCCCACCCCTTCCCCTACTATATGTATGAAAATTGGTTTGGTTCTGCCACTTTTTTAAATTGGCTTAGCCAAAAAAATAGGTATTTCTAATTGGCCTTACACTTAATAAGGAATTGGCCTTACTCTTAAGGACAAAGCTAATTAATAACCATGAGAATTCAGCTAATTAGCCGTTTTCAAAAGGGTAGTATAAAATTCTTAATCAAAAATTTCTTCTGTTTATTTTTAAGGAGAAAAAAAAATTAATCCTTAGCATTACAGGGTAAACGTGTTTTATTAAATACTTAAAAAAAACAAAAACCACTGCTTGAAGTATAAAAATATACAAATCTTTCATTGTATAATGCAAAAAAAAGTTCAAAACTATATTTAAAAATTTTATTATGTACAAATTTAGTGATATTAAAAAAACAGGATGCTATAACGATTTGGACGCTTGAAAACTCAATATCCTCTTCACGATGTCATGATTCTACTAGAGAATTTTATCATGAAAGTTGGCAAGGATCATCTTTCCAGTCCTGGATAATTAAATAATCGTAATATTCTAGAAAGAAATTGTAAAATAATATATAAGATATAGTAAAAATAAAATTTATGCATGTAATAACGAATGAAAATTATAAAGATAACGTGAAAGTTTATCCATGGTGATTAAGTGGTTCACAAAGTACAAAAACAAAAAATTGATGAATGCCCTCGAAATCTGAAAAAAATATGTAATCAGATAACATTCAAATAAATGGCTTAAAGCTCTAAGCAAAGGTGTTAATACTTTTCAAATGATTTTAATAGATACCGTTACAGATGTATAGTCCAAATATCTAATTACATAGTCTAAAAATGGATCCTTATCTAGATACATTCTTTCAAATGTATCTGCAACAGGGTTGGGCAGTATCGCGGATATTTATATCTAAGATACAAGATACTTTTAATCTTGTATCTTTTTTAAAATTTTGGAAAGTATCTTGTATCCAGTATCTAAGATACATATTATTTAAAAGTATTTGTATCTTAACCAACTTTGTATTCAAGAAGATATAGATACTTTAAAAAAAATTTATATTGCTTAATTTAAATAGTATTAAAATTTAAAATGATATTGTTTTAAGATTTAAATGAAAAATTTAATCAAAATTTAGATATTTTAAGATTATTTTTGATATATGACGTTGGTCGTCATATAATTTGCTAACAATTAGAACTACCATATTTGAATCGTTTTATATCTGTCTATTTTAAAATTATGGAAGAAGAAAATAGAATAATATGTTTATCTTCGTCTTCAGATGATTCTTCAACCGAAAATTATAACAATAAATTTAAACTAAGCATACTTAATGGCAAATTTTTTGAAGTACTTCAAGATGATCATAATAAAGAAATTCATCGTGACTTTGGTATTGACGAAAAAGTTATAGCAACTGTTACGATAACGGCTCTAACTTTAAGAAAGCTTTCAAGGAGTTTGGATATTCTATGGAAGCTGTAGAGAATGACTTTGACATCAATGATGATGAATATATAGAATTCGAAATCATTGAAAGTATTATTTAATACTTCTTTAAAATTTATTATGATATTGTAAATTTAGTAAAAATTTTTATTCAAATAAAATTATTTATTTGTTTATTTAAGGGTCTAAAGAAGCCTCAATAACATTGCCTCAACACATTCGTTGTTTGTGCCATACGATAAGTCTAATTGCCACAACAGATGTCGAGAGAGCTATTAAGGATTCTCCATTTCTAAAATTCATCATCCTGCAATAGCTAAATGTACTAAGTTATGGAATACAAATAATAGGCCTAAAACTGCAGAACTTATCAAAGCAGTTTTAGGAAAACAATTAGTTACACCTTGTTGCACTAGATGGAATAGTTTGTATGATAGTCTTCTTAGTTTATTAAAATTTAAACTTCCTAAATTATGTCAAAAATTAGAATTTCCTAAATTAAGAGATATTGAAATTCAATATTTAGAAGAATATTGCAATATAATGGCCCCATTGGCTATAGCGATTGACAAAATACAGAGTGAAATCAACTGCTATTATGGAGAATCAGCTCCAATTTTAAATGTCGTTAAAAAATTACAAATTTAATTCAAACCAATCTGCAATTTTGCAAACCATTAGCTATTGCCATAGAAAATTCTTTAAATAAAAGATTTAAAAATATATATGATTTTGATAACAATTTTAAAAGTGCATTTTTGGCAACTATTTCTCATCCCTATTTTAAAAATCGTTGGATTGATGGTGAAAAAGAAAAAAATACCTTCAGGATTTGTTATTACATGAAGTTTTAATTGTTTTTAAAAATAATATTGAAATTAATACTTCAACAAAATCTTCAATTGATGAAGATGATGATTACTTTTGCCTTAAAAGTATCACATCCAATTCTAATAATTCAATAAATGATATTGAAATAGAGGTCCTAAATTATATGAAAGATGACAGGCGGAGTATAAATATGTTAAATAGTTATAAATATATAAAAGAAATATTATTAAATATAACACAATATTACTCTCCTCAGCCCCCTTTGAAAGATTATTTAGCTTTGCTAATATGGTTAATAGACCAAATCGACAGATTGAACGATAAATCATTTTAAAAATTAATAATATTAAAAAATATTGCTGATATATGATGCTGATTTATTATTATTTACTAATTATATAATTATTAAATGGAATATCGCATTATCTTTTATAATAAATTTGTTATTTTCTACAATTTATTTTAAATATTTTTTTATAAATTTATATTATAGATAAGAAAATAAAGCTTTATACATTTTGATTTTGACTATTTAAAGTTTTTTAAAAAAGTATCTTGTATCTTAGATACTTTTTTTTAAAAAAAATACAAGTATCTTGTATCTTATATCTTATTGAAATTTTTCTAAAGTATCTTGTATCTTAAATGCAAAATTTTATAAAGTATCTGTATCCGAATACAATTTTCTGAAAATTTGCCCAACCCTGATCTGCAAGATGCAATTTTCCCAAAGATAAATTTTTATTATAATAATGTAGTATGGTACATAATGGCTAATTTATGATTCTATTGATAAAATTCAAATTTTCAAGTGAGCTGAATTTTTTATTCCAACTAAAGATTTGCAAATCCCGACTCGAATGTGCTTCGGGGCCTGGCAGGGCCTATTTTTAAAAGATGTCAGGCTTAAATGTATAAATATGATATCACTCAATTTTTTAGAATAAATTGATATATTTTAAAATTCTTGCAAGAAACAAGGCTTACTTTTTGTATTTTATTTGTAAAATATTTTTTTTTTCAATTAAAAAATTATTAAATTTTTCTACATTTAAATTATTCGGTTCGGTTGGACAAATTTTTTTTAAAAAAAATTTGGTTTTCCTTGGGTTGTAAAATTAGGTTCGATTGCAGATCACTAATCTCAACTAAAATATATAATTATATGATAAATAATAATTATTATATTTTATAATACATATAAAAATATATATTTATAATATAAGTAATTTTTGGTAGATTAGGTTAGGGGTTTAAAATTTATAGCATTATTCGTATACATTTGTTATTAGATTACTCTTCATATATATCACCAAACTCAATATTTTATTAGGAAAAATATTATGCAAGCCTTAAGATTTTGCTCATCGGTGGTGGCACAAAAGTTTGAATATCTATTAAAAAAAAAATCTCGAGACAGGACAATATTTTTCTGGATAAAATATTGACTTAGCCGTTTTTAAAAATCGACTTAAATCGAGCCGTTTAACAACACTAGGGGTCATCCATTGCGTAAAATAAAGTGTGCGTGGCTTAATTTTATAACGAAATAAACTCGTACGTAATATTTAATGAATTAAAAAATTACAAGTGATAAAAAAGGTTAATTAATTCATACACCCGCCTCAATTGATAATGGTTTAAAAATTTTTTAAAAACCATACAATGCAATTTAGTTCTTAGCAAAAACCATTGTGTTACCTTAGACAATGTTTTATAGAATGGACTAATAAGGAAATATTTGTAGGCCTAACCAAATCAATAATTCTTGAAGAAGAGAATATAAACGACTAATCTAAACTATATGGTGGTTAGAACTTCCTGTTAAATACCAAACCGAAAATATATTTGCAAAGCCCGGCAATCTCTAAGGCAATGTGTAATTTTTTCGGCAATGTGAGGTAGTGGTAGGCAGGGTGCGGGTTAAATCAGGCAATGTATTCTATTTTACAAATTAATACATTTATTATTTATTTGAGAATAATTTATTATTTTATTATTTTATTATTAATTTATTTTTTATAATTTATAGATTTTGTTAATAAATAATATTTTTAAAATATATTTTTTTACTTTTATTTTTTATTGGTAATACTTTATTTAAAAAAACAAATTTTTCATATACAAATTATAATTAAAAATATATATTAAAAAACAAATAATATATTAAAAATGAATTAAAAAATATATATGTATAAAAGAGAAATGAGATAAGGGTACAAATCCCCCTAGAGAAGAGTGAATGCTTAAAAAATTAGACCGGCAGATTTCCAGGGAAATCTGCTGACGAAGGCAAAATCCT